TATTATCTTGTGATAATCGTGGAGGAGTATCGAATGATCTTGTCACTGCAATATAAAATTAGAAATCAATATTCGAATAAAAGAAAAACGTTCCATACCGTCTAAATTCTCAAAGACATGTTTATCTTTGAATTCATCCAAATCGTCTTTGATAATATCTTCTAAATATGCCTTTAACTTTTCACGAAAATCAGCATTTTGAATCTTCTCTTTCATATCAGCTGGTTTCATTTCATGGTCAAGCCAAATAAGAAGATGCAAATGAAGCGAACCTCGTCCTTGACTTTCAACAGTACCAAAATAAGCTTTTATTGGTCCAAGAACACCACCACTAATCATAGTATTTAAGATATTTGAAATTAATAAATGAAAAAATTTTGCGGTAGCAACAGGATGAGAAGCTATAATTTCGGCTCTTTTGTAAGTAGTCATCAGTTGCGCTAATTGAATATTATCTAAATCCAACTTGACTCCCGCAAAATATAATGCCACGGGACTGTGAATATCAGCTGGATTTAAAATTAAAAAAATGCTTGGTAACCCTTGATTATAGATTAATGCATGAATACGCGTACGTAATGCCGTACGTGAATATGCTGAACCCATAACTCGACCACCGATGGTTTTAATATGATGCAATAATTTATTTAATGCACTGTTGGATTCCGAACTGTATGTTTTTTTGGAAATGTTATCGAGCGCCATTTCAATATCTTTACTTTTCAAGGATTGAATTTCATCAGCAGATGCTCGAAAGTAAGGTTTTGTTGCGATCAGCTGAGCATGAAAACAAGCATCATGTCGTTGTAATAGATTGAAGACGACAAATATAAAACTGTGGTTCGTTTCAAAACGTCGATCATTGTACGATAACAGATAATGTATGTGTTCTCGTAAATTTACTTTAACTGGACGCGATTGATCTTCAGGTGCTCCACGTCCATAACAGAATAAGGTTGGATACAGACCTGCGAGTAGTTTTGGATTAAAATATTCGTTAACAGGCTTCGAAGAATGAGGAATCAAATAAACATTTTCGGTGTCCATCTGTTCCTTTGTTCCGTCATTTTTAATTTTGTGCAAAAGATAATTAGTAATTTCATCTGAAGACACTGATGAGCCGTTGACATCGAGAACACCACTAAAAAAGAAAAGATTTGTGAAACAACTAATTTATTAGCTACTCTTACCTGTTAGTAATAGGAATACTATCTGTACTAGTACGTTCTATTGGGTCAGATAATGGATCAGGAATATATCCAATTCTTTCAGATTGAATTTCTTCATCGCCTATCTTCTGTTCCATCGTTGACATAATACATTCTGGTACATCGTCTTCAGGTAATTGAGCAATATTCTTCAGATTTATATCAACATTTTGATAAAGTACGTTGTGTTTCTTCAGCCAATGTAATGCTTCGATAATTTTCTTTCTGCGTACTGTAAGCACTTTTTTAAGTTGAATGCGTTCAGGAGGATGAGCTCCGACGAAAATTACTTTAAGTGTATCACACAGCTCGTTAAGTGTAAGTGGTAAACTATTAACAATATTTGGTACATTTTGAAGAAAAGTAACACAGTTGCCTTTCAATGCTGTCTGGACAGTTGTAGTTGAATGGAAAGGCGAATGAAGTTTTATTATACAGCTGTTGTGACGATGGAGTGATATCAATTCTTCTTCTGGAATTGTCAATCCTTGTAATTCAGAAGGTACGTCACCTAACCACATATTGTTGGCAGCTGAGAATTTAGGAATTTGTCCATTCGACAGAGAAATGTGACATTTTTGGCAAAGTATGCACATGCTCACCTTGTTTTGTTAAAATAATCCATTGCTATATAAGATAACACTATTATCATAATGAAATGATGAAGAATCGAAAGTTGAAGGAACTAGAATAGCCAAAGATTCTATATAATGTCTCAAATCACAGTAATCATATGTTACTTTGAATATTTTGAAGAATCGCTGTGCTGTTACCGTCTAAATGTTGTGATAACGATGATAGACCATTAGTAATTAAATTTTTGAGTTCATCAGAAACTTTAAGTAAAGGAATATTAGGAATTTTTGAGAGTGGCACTTTTTTTGACTGTTGTATTGGAGTACGAACGTTGCAAATTCCACAAGTAGCATCAGCTAGTACTGACATAGACATCTGTTGAAGAAACTTTTGCAATCGGGCCTCTTTTAATTCACGAGGAATCGGTTTAGGCCAACAGGAATAATTTGAGTCGTTCTTTTTCTTTATGATGTTTTCATTTGTGCTGCTATTATCCAATGATGCTTCTTCTTCCGCTTCGCTAAATTGTATTTCGATATTTTGTCGATGAATATCAATGTTATCAAATGTGTGTTTTTCAAATTTCTTCTTCACTCTGCTTGCTTCGCTTCGTTTCCTTTGCTTCTCAAGTCGAATTTGACGTTGTTGTTCTGTTTCATTTGAACGATTCGATTGAGTTCGTGTTTTTTGTTTTTCAAGTTGAATTTGATGTTGTTGTTCTGTTTTATTTGATCGGTTCGATTGGTTTCGTGTTTTTTGTTTTTCAAGTCGAATTTGACGTTGTTCTATTGTTTCATTCGATTGATTTCGTGTTTTTTGCTTTTCAAGGTGAAGTTGACGGTGTTCTTCTGTTTCGTTCATTCGGCTAGATCGAGCTCGTTCTTTTTGTGCATCAAGCCGCACTCAACGTTGCTCTTCTATGTCACTTTGACTTTGTTGTAGTACACTTGAACTGATTGATTGAGTGGAGTACATTCCCATGTTATCGATACGTAGACGGCTGCTAGGAGAACATTCAAATTCAGGACTTCGTATTCGAGTAGGAGTATTATTCTTAAACGTTTTCTTTTCAGGAGTCTAAATA